CCCGCCCCTCTGCCCAGCCCGCACCCCGAGACCGCACAGCCCGGGGTGCCCTCAGGGCCCGCCCCCGCGCCCCGGCCCGGCCGGCAGAGGGCGGGGTCGCTCACCGGTCCGCAGCTCGTGCTTGACAGTAAAGAGCTGCTCGCCGCCGTCCCCGCCGGTCCCCACGTCGCCGCTGCCGCTGCCGCTGCCGCTGCCGCCCTTCTCCTCCATCTTCTCCCTTTTTCCGATCCCGCGGGTCGCTCCGAGGGGAACCCGGGAGACAGTGGACGCCCCTCACCTCACAGTCCGTGCCACAGCCCCAGGAGCCGGGGTGCGGCGGCTCCACAACTCGGACGCAGAGACGAGTCGCTTTCCCGCTCTGACCGCTCGGCTCGCTCCTCCGCCTCCTCCCCCTTCGGCGGGCACCGCTAGTACCGCGCAACCAAGCCGCCCCCTTCTCCTCCGCCTCCTCCTCCAGGCCGCTCCGCCTACAGCCAGCAAGGTAGAAGAGCCATTCTAGCCGCCATCGTTTATTGGGTGCAGGGCGCGCGCGTCTGCCTCCTCCAGTTTCTATTGGCTAATCTTCTCTGACGTTTCACGAGCCGCCCCGCCCCACTCCTCAAATTGTTGTTGCTTGGCGGGGAGGCAGGAGAGGGAGGAGCGCAGACACTCCGATTGGTGAGACTCAAGGTTCTGCCCCGCCCTTCTCCTTTAACGCGCACGCGCAGTCAAGGCCTTCCCTCTCTGACCTCCCTAGAAGGGTCACACCGCTTATTCCCCAGCTTCGATCTGTTAGTAAACAGTATCTAGTAGTCAGGAGGCGCTCGGCATCCGTGATTGGTTATTGCTGAAAGAGGCGGGGAGGGATGATTGGATCCTTTGGTCCGCCAATCACCGTAGACAGAGGAGGGGCCTGAAGATGCGCTTGTCACCCACGTGTTTTTTGCAGTCAAATCCGAGGGTCTCAGGCAACGAGCCACAGGTGTGTGACCGCCTGAGGACGAAATGTCTTAAAAAAATGTGTCACACGTTCTAGTCAGCCCTAAGTAAATACGGCGGACCTTGTACTTAACTATTCATCATTCCAAGATATAAAAATGCAAAGTCCCGGCTCCTCGTAATTAATTTTGAAAAACTGAAAATTGTAAACCACTCTTCCTGGGCGCTGAAAAGATGCAGCGATTAACAGATAGAATACAACACAACTCCTCCCACCAAGCAACTTTCAGTGAAACTTGAGAAACCGGCAGCCTATATATAAACACAGGAAACTATAAAGCAGGATTTGAAATAATAAAAGTACAGTGTCAGAGTGGCACGAAGGCAGTATTCTCGGGGAAGGAGCTGGCAAAGGATTGTAGGGCGAAGAGGCGGCTGAGATAACCAACTAAAAGACGGGTAAGGCAGAAACACCAGATACGTCATACAGAGGCCTTGCGGGGAGAAGGCATAGATTTTGAAGCAATTGGTAAGGCTAGATGTATGATGTAAGAGAAAAGCCTGAAAAGCAAGGCTTAGTAAGATAATGGAGACACTAGAACATTATGCTGAACTATAGATTTTATTTAGTACACAGTGGGAAGCCTGAGTTACCAATATAAAGCTTTTCTTCTGGAAGTCAGCTTTGATTATAGAGAGAAGAGTAAACTGAAAGGAAGAAAAGAGAGCAGGCAAAGAAGATTATTGCAAGGATAGAAGAAGTGGGGGCCTAATATCTGGTAGCAGAAATGAGAGTGGGGAAAGGAAAGGCTTTAAAAGATGCACATTTGGACGTAATTTGCATGAAAGTGATCTTTTCAACTAAGCACTGATTAGATGGTGGATCTCATGTGTATTTTCTTATAAGGGATAGGTAGAGAGTATTTTAGGCTTTGTGGACCATATGTTCTCATTGATAACTACTCAGCTCCACCACTTAGCTGGGAAGCAGTCATAGACAATAAAGCAGTTGTGTTCACAGTAACACTTTTGTGGACATAGAGACTTAAATTTCACATAATTTTCATGTGTCTCAATGTTGGGTTTTTTAAAACTTGTTTCAGTTATTTAAAAACAAAAAATTTCTTAGCTCTTGGGTGATTAAAAAACAGATAATGAGCCAGAATGGGCCTCCAGACCAGAGTTTGCAGCCTCCTACATTAGATTGTCAAGAAGGAGAAAGCCAAGAAGCCTCAAAGGCTTTTCAGATTGCTGCCACAGCTCCCTGGTCTTACCTGCCTGGAACATTTATCACACTACGTGACTGCCTACTCACTCCTACTATTTGGAGCCAGGCAATGACTGTGCACAATTGTTCAGTTGTTCACTCAACAACTTTTTTACTGATTATGTACCAGATACTATGATGTTTAGATGTTACAACGACTTGCACACCAATTATGTACCAAGTACTAAGATGTTAGGTTGCATACAAAATAACAGGGACACAGTGATCACAAAACAAGTGCATTTTGCCCTTGTAGATCCTGCAGTCTAGGAACAGAGATATTAAACGACCACATAAAGAAATGTAATATTTTCACGTGATCATTGCCATAAAGGTAAATTGTAGAATGCTACAATGGAATATATGAGGAAGGCCTAATTTAGCCTGGAATTGCTGACAGGACTTTGTAAGAAAGTATTCTTTGAGTCTTCGGAGGTGAGTAGGATCAACTAGGATATGGCAGAAACTGGTCTGATGCTCACCAATCTCATTTCCTCTTCCTGGACAAACAGATATTTTTAGGTGGGTGTTTTGTGTTTTTTTTTGTTTTGTTTTTTTTTTGGTCCCGCTTCATTTTGCAATTAGATTAGGATCATATGACTCTGATCTAGACATTGGAATTTGAGCCGACATGTTATGTGCCATTTTCAAGTCTATCCAGAAAACTCCATGTATAATCTCTTAAGTATAATCTGGCCTACTGCACGAGTGAACTTTTGAATGAAAGAAAATTTAGAAAGATGTCCTAAGACAGGCAAAGAGCATATTGCATTTGAGAGATTCTTTAAAAAAAAGAAAAAAGTCAATAGCCTTAATATGGTAAGCAGTGGTGAAGTGGATGGGCAGAGACCTCCCCCATCATGAAGTATGTGTTTAGTTTTACTAGTGTTTGTGGGAATATCCTGTAGGAAGTGGGAAGCAAAGAAGGGAATTTAAACAAGGGGCTGGTACAATGAGAGTAGTATTTTCAGGTGGCCACTGTGGTTAGTTGTTGGAGAATGGGCTGGAGAGGCAAAATGAGATACCAAAAGACTATCACTGCATCCTGGGCAAAAGATGAGTGTGGGTGCAGAATTCAATGGGATTCTCTTTCTATATTTATGTTTTGGACTTCGTCAGGGATTGGATCTAATGGATAATAAAAGAACTCCTTCTTAAATGACACCAGTTTCTAGCATGAGCAAGTAGGAGGATGAAAATGATGAAAGAAACATTTAATGGGAAGGACAGATAAAAGAGAAGAGCACACAGAGGTAATAACAAAAGTTTAATTTTGAGGTATCCATTGCCCTTATTAAGTATGTAGAGGTATGAGTCTGGAGCTTTGAAGATAGATCTAGGTTTGAGATATAAATTTAGCAATCACTGGTGTATGGATGGCATTAACAAGATTACCTGGGGAGATGTTATATGAAAGGGAAGAAGAGAGGGCCCAGGATTGAAGCCTAAAGCATTTCAGCATGGAGATGCTGGACTGGGAAGGTAGAGTCATAGATGGAGAAGGAAAAACTGAGTAGTTTTGCATCCTAAAAGCCAAAGTGTGTTGCAAAGAGAGAGAGTGGTCAGCTACATCAAATAATGTGAAAAGAGCTCACAAATTTGCCAGCTTGGTGCTGAAAATATCCAAAGTAGTTTTAGTCAGGTAAATCTAAGGTAAAAAGTAGAAACAATACATATATACTTCTTTTTAAAAAGCATTTACCCCTTAAAGAAAAGAAAGAAAGAACGTACTAGTTGGAAGAATCCAGAAGTTTCCTGTTTTTTGTTTTACTTTTTATCTTCAAATATTTTTAAAATTGCAGTACAGTGACAAAACTTAAGCTTAGTATAGCAGAAATAAGTCCTATGAGCATGGAGATATGCACATATATATAAAAAGTTTCTTTCAGAGATCAAAACACCAGGTTGAGTGCTAGAGAAGATGTTAAGAGATGAATTAGGAATTGGAGGGTAGTGGGAAGAGTTTGAAACAATCACTGTGAGATATAAATATAGTGAACCAGCTTGGATAATTGTTGAGTGACACTAGTGTTCAAGTGGAGTTAGAAAGCCTAACAGAATTATTAGTTGTCTTTCTCTAGCAATTTACATTCTGCTAGAGGTTGGAGATTAGCAATTGAGAAACAACCTGGTTGGAATGAATGACCCTAAGGCCCAAGAAGGACAAGAAGGCAATGAAGCAAGGAGTAAATAGGTAGCCTCAGAGAAGAGGAGAGCACCCAAGAGCTGGAGCTAGCATAGACAAGTTCCCAACTTCAGCTGTCCAATGTAACCAGTACCTGAGATCCTGAAAGAGAAAGGAGAGGGAGAGAGAGAGAGAGAGAGAGAGAGAGAGAGAGAGAGAGAGGAGGAAGAAGAAGAAGAAGAAGAAGAAGAAAAAGAAGAAGAAGAAGAAGAAGAAGAAGAAGAGCATAATTAAGAGTCTAGACTTTGAGATTTTCTTTTATTACTCCCTAAGTGAAGGTAATATACACCAAACTTGTAACACATTACTCTACTGTACAATCTATTAGAATAAGGGCTGGGGAGATAGCTCAGTAGAATAAGCGCTCGCCTGGCAAGCACAAGGTCCTGAGTTTAATCCTCAGTACCACCAAAAAAAAAACCCCAATCTATTAGAATAGAGGTTGATAAATAAGAGTTAATGGAGTTCTGCACACAACTTTTCAGAGGTATTGAAGATGCTGCATAGTGTAGGAAGGAAAATTTATAACTCAGGGGCTGAGAACACCAAATCACATTGGTAGAGTGTTTAACTGATTTGAAATGATGAGTAGTTGGCATGGACTAAACAGATGAAGTTGCTGGAGGTTTCTGAAACACTGCATATCTTGTGGGTGCTGCGGCTGGAATAGAGGAATACATCACTGCACGCTCACTCTCTGAGAGATGGACTGGTAAAGAGATCAGGGCCTGTCCAAGAAAAATCTGGGAAAAGAAAGCTGTCCAGGCAAAAGTCAGGTTTTTGCTAAGGCTGAGAAGAACACAGAAAGAAACTTGAAAATATGTTTGTTTCTGTTAAAAATTGACTTCAACAAGTTTGTGACAGGGTGGGGAGGAGGTCCCCCACTCAGCCCAGTGGTCCTGGACCTGCGTGAGCCTGTGTGACCTCACTGATCTTTGGGTGCCTGCCTTCACCTGAGACGGAGGCTGGAGCAAAGTAAGAGGAGAACCCCTCACTTGCTGTGACCAGTGCAACTTGGTGAAGCTCATTCTTCAGGCAAAATGAGCAGGAAGCTCCTTACTTTTAGATTTATAAGAAATGGGAAGCACCAGATCCCAC